CAAGAGGCTCGAAAGACATAATGGTAAACCCTAGCTGAATTAATACGGAAATTAATCAGGCGTGCAGAAATTTACATAGAGACTGGGTAAAGCCTGATATGAACATGGAGGAGAAAATTAACCCCAGGCCGTGAGGCCGTGCCGCCAAGGATTTCCTGACTAAAGGTAGGGCTTACTAGTACATAGAATGGCTGTAAAGGCAAAGTAGTAGCTGCGGACAGAGGAACACTTGAGGACCGGCGCTGCACCCCCCACTCGGCAGGCCAGCAGGCCGGCGAACCCCCCCCCCCCCCTTTATGTTGTAATGCTTTCTTTGTAATGTATTTTGTTTTATAAATAAAAAAAGAAAGACAAAATTATCATTAATGCAAACACTCAAACGACAAGGCCGACGGGTACTTATCAACTGGGTACCAAGTCATGTGGGAATAATAGGCTGTGGGGTTCAGTCCCTGAGCCCATTATGTGCCTCTGTAACCCTTTCCACTACCGCCCACAAAATAGGTATGGGGTGCATAATAAATGAACTAAACTAAAAAGATGCAATCATTAGTCTCCTTGACGTAATCTACTCAGCCCTTGACAAAAATGAGTTTCCGATTGGACTCTTCATTGACCTAAGAAAAGCCTTTGATACTGTTAATCACAACTACCTCTTACTTAAACTCCAGCATTATGGAATTCGAGGTCTTGCCCTTGACTACATCCGACCCTATCTTAGTGACAGACACCAATATGTAACCATCAATGATACAACTTCTTCCACTCTACCAATTACCGTTGGAGTGCCACAGGGCAGTATCTTAGGACCTCTTCTATTTCTTATGTATATAAACGATCTGCCTAATGTCTCTAATATTCTTAAACCTATATTGTTTGCTGACGATACTACCCTTATCTATTCAGACCCCAACCCACATACACTAAATAATGTTGTGAATAATGAATTAAAAAAAGTACACCTATGGATGTCAACTAACAAACTAACACTAAACATAAAAAAGACCTACTACATCTTATTTGGGAGCAAATCATCGAATGCAATTCAGCTACAGATAGACAACATTAACATCAGTAATAAAAATGATGGAAAGTTTCTTGGCCTATTCCTAGACAAGAGCACCCACACAACTTCAGCACCCACATTCAACACATAACTAAGAAAGTCTCTAAAACAGCTGGAATACTCTCCAAAATAAGATATTATGTTCCTAACTCTGCTCTCCTCTCACTATATTATGCACTAATCTATCCCTATCTTAATTATGGTATCTGTGCATGGGGGTCTACCACTGCAAACCACCATAAGCCCATCATCACCCAGCAAAAATCTGCTATCAGAATAATAACTAACTCTGCTTTCAGACAACACTCAGCTCCCTTGTTTAAATCCCTAAACTTGCTAAATATTAACTCCCTCCACACATTCTCTTGTGTCAACCACATTTACAAAACCCTGTTCTTAAATGCAAACCATGCTCTGAAACTCTCCCTGGACAGATGTAATAGGACCCATTATCACCACACCAGAAATAAATATATCTTTGATATCCCCAGGGTCAAACTTAATCTGTGTAAACACTCTATGCAAATTAAGGTCTATGGAACTCACTCCCTAATGAATTGAAAAGCTGTCAAACTTTTGCCTTATTTAAAAGCAAAACCAAAAAGTACCTAATTTCATCTTCTTAGTTTCCTACACTAAGCTTTAAATTTGTTCTGTACCTAGTGTTACCCAATCTCCTAATTTTTATGTATTTAACCCAAACAACCTTATCATTGTGTTCATTGCTGTCTTTTATGTGCTAGCCATATGCTGTATTGTGCCTACCAATTTTTGTCAACTACCATTCACGCTGTCATTGCAATTAATCTGAACTACCTATGTGATTTAATATACCTACAATTTTCTCTCATCTTTTTTTTTCTTACCTTGTAACTGTTATCATTTTTTTATAAATTTTGCAAGTATTTACCTACTTAAAATTTTCTTAGATTAAGGACCCCGAAACGCTGCGCGTACTAGTGGCTTTACAAGATTGTAATTACCATATTATGTATCCTCACAATCCCAATGTACCTTCTTGTATATGCATAAATAAATAAATAAAATAAATAAATATACAGATGGCATGCATTAGGCAGTGATGTGGTGGAGGCTGACGCTATACACAGTTTCAAATATAGATATGATATTCAAATATAAATATGATTTGAATTTGAATTTTGAATTTGAATAAGAGCCCAGTAGGCTCAGGAATCTGTACACCAGTTAATTGACAGTTGAGAGGTGGGACCAAAGAGCCGAAGTTCAACCTCCGCAAGCATAACAAAGTACAACTAGGCGAGTACACATACCAATACAAAAAAGTATTTTCTTAATTCACCGGACACAGGAAAAGGTCAGACATACCCCAGGATCTCTACTACGCTTTAATAACTCAACTCGACCAAGGAAAACTATCCTTCCCTTGTTTCAGATCAACAAGTCGGCTGTTAACCTCTACATCTACAAATTAGTCACTGTCAATCACAAATAATCTTAAGAATATAAGTAATAGTGCCTTTATCACGATCATTTGCTCGCGTATGGCAACCATTATGGTTTGGCCCTTCTCTTGCAAAGAACAGACCATAATCAATAATATACAACAAAAAATTAGAGTTCATATTTAAAAGTTAGGGCAAAAAAGTGTGTACAAATCATCAGCAGCAAGGATCAAGAACATCCTTTCATGCCCGCTAAAGGGGGTTTCCCTCGCCTAGTTCCCAGCGCTACCACACACTCATATGGACATGTGTATTAACACGATGTACTGAACGGGGTGAGAATAGCTTGAGCTACCTCATCCCTTTGTGTGTATTTTACCTCAATAAACTTATTTCAATTTCAATATGGACATAATTTGAATCTAGTTTTCCCTCTTCGATAATGAAAATTACCCGGGGGATTTATTTTAAAATTATTGTGTTAGCTTACACAAGACAGCTCTGCGCGTAACCATCACACAGGCAGAATTCTAGGAGTGATCTTGTGAGGGTAGGAAGGAAAGAGGTGAAACAGGTCAACTCTTGTGACTAAGACATGACCCAACTGATGAAGAACAGAGACTTTCTCAACTTCAGGTCAGACACGAGGGAACATTTTGGGGTTTGAAAAAGGCGTCTCGCGCTCCCTCAACATCAAAAGCCACTTCCATCTAGGTAGCGGTGACATCGCTCTTCACTATCATGGGGCATCGGCCGTGTGAGGTCGAATAGAGAGAAAGAGGGAGAGAAAAAGAAGAGGGTAGATAGAGGTAGGAGAGGGGGAGGAAAAAGAGGGATGCATGCATGCAGTAACGAGGGAATTCTCATTAGCAAAATGGACTAGCAGCCATTTTTTTTTTTTACTATTCCTTCAGTCCGAGACCTTAGTGCCATTCCTCATTATATTTATGCGTTTATAAATTTCCATACCGCTTATTTAATTTCATGCTCACTTTGTAATAAGAACGAATTTTATGTGGAACAGCATACCACTGACTCAAGGCTTCTAAAACAATTGTCCCACCTACCTATAACGCATGAACATTACCAGTATATAGGCATTAGTAGGTTATCCCAATCATTTAATACTTAGTTATCGCTTGCTAATTTCAGTAGCTGTACTGAAATTCTCATCTAATCTACGTGTAGAGTAGATGAGAATCAATAAATTAGCCATTCCCAGAAAACTGAAAACGTCAATTGACATACATTAAATTCTCTGGTCACAATGTATTAAGTTAATTTAAATTTATTTGGGTCTGCCAGAACCATTTACTTTTAGGAATGCTTACTATCGCAATGAGCCATAAAGCAGGACGGAAACGGACTTTCACCAGTTATAAATACTGTAATTAAAAAGAATAAACCATTTGAAACCATCTGCCTTTGCTGAAAATGCCAAAACTGCGAAATTTTTAAAATCCAGCTCTACAAAATCATGACAAATGGGTGGAAGCGGAGATACCATCGACATGCCACTTGACTATCCTCGTCGAGGCCACTATAAGGTAAATAAATACATATCCGTTTTTTAAACACACTGTCATGCTAAAATTCAAAGATACTGTCATACTACTTAAATTTAGTGGACATGCCCACAGTTTAGTTAGCAAAAAGCAGCTTTATTATATATTATGAAAGCACTTAAATTGCCATTTTGTTTGACCTGTACAATGTCAGAATATTGAAGTCGCTTCGCCTATATTAAAGCAGTGGTTTCTCCAGTTTTAACTACTGTCCAAACTATTTTTTTACCATTTTTTTGGGTGAAAAAATTATACAAGGAAACAATCAGGAAGACAATTTAGTACCAGCCGTGACAGGACTGACAAAAGGCTATAAATTAAAGAGAAAAAAAGTTAAATGGTAGTTCAATAATTAAAGTTTTTTATAGCACAAACTTATGTTTCGACAATTTTTGCAAGTTTTTTACGAAAGATACCAATTAAAGCATTAACTGGCATCTTTCCTAAAGATTAGCAAAAAAATTTTTTTTTACCTAAACAATCTTAGAGGGTCCAGTTCCTCAACCGATTATGTGCATTAACCCTTAACACCACCGCCCACAGGATGGGTATGGGGTGCATAATGAAGAAATTGAATTTAGTTTAAGAAAGACGTAAGGGTAGTCTTCACATGCTCTAGTAGACTTAAAACTGTTCAAAATTACAACAAATTTGTTACATCCCCACCCTATACTTCAGACACCGACCATTAGCCCAAAACTCATGAACACACTTTAGTACTAATGTATAATCCCATAAACTTTAATGCTGGATTGGTCATAAAGAATAAAGACAGCAAATGTTTATCCAATTTATTTGGTTCATCTAGCACGTTATAAAAAGTAAAAAATAATCTGCAAAAGAAATATATCCATCTACAAATGAAAGGGGTTTGTAAAGTGCAAATTTAAGCCACAAGCATATCTTTGAATTATAATCAAAGTCACAAATACAGCATTTCAATGTCCACCACGGAGCCGAAGAACTAGATGCAAGGTAGACTCTTTCTGAATGTTATAGTCTGAGAGGGTACGACCATCTTCCAACTGCTTGCCAGCAAAGATCAGCCTCTGCTGGTCTGGTGGGATACCTTCCTTATCCTGGATTTTTGCCTTTACATTCTCAATGGTGTCTGAAGGCTCAACCTCCAGGGTGATGGTCTTCCCTGTGAGGGTCTTCACAAAGATCTGCATACCACCTCTCAGACGAAGCACTAAGTGAAGTGTAGATTCCTTCTGAATATTGTAATCAGAGAGAGTACGACCATCTTCCAGCTGCTTCCCAGCGAAGATCAACCTCTGTTGGTCTGGTGGAATACCTTCCTTATCCTGAATTTTTGCCTTTACATTCTCAATTGTGTCTGAAGGCTCAACCTCCAGGGTAATTGTCTTTCCTGTGAGGGTCTTCACGAAGATCTGCATACCACCTCTCAATCTTAAAACCAGGTGAAGTGTGGATTCCTTTTGAATATTATAGTCGGAGAGAGTACGACCATCTTCCAACTGCTTGCCAGCAAAGATCAATCTTTGCTGGTCTGGTGGAATACCTTCCTTATCCTGAATTTTTGCCTTCACATTCTCGATTGTATCCGAAGGCTCAACCTCCAGGGTAATTGTCTTTCCAGTGAGGGTCTTCACAAAGATCTGCATACCACCTCGCAGCCTCAGAACCAAGTGAAGTGTAGATTCCTTCTGAATATTGTAATCGGACAGAGTACGACCATCTTCCAGCTGCTTGCCAGCAAAGATCAACCTTTGTTGATCTGGTGGGATACCTTCTTTATCCTGAATCTTTGCCTTTACATTGTCTATGGTGTCTGAAGGCTCAACTTCAAGGGTGATGGTCTTTCCAGTGAGGGTCTTAACGAAGATCTGCATACCGCCTCGCAGCCTCAGAACCAAGTGAAGTGTGGATTCCTTCTGAATATTGTAGTCGGAGAGGGTACGACCATCTTCCAGCTGCTTGCCAGCAAAGATCAACCTCTGTTGGTCTGGTGGAATACCTTCCTTATCCTGAATTTTTGCCTTTACATTCTCGATTGTATCCGAAGGCTCAACCTCCAGGGTAATTGTCTTTCCAGTGAGGGTCTTCACAAAGATCTGCATACCACCTCTCAATCTTAGAACCAGGTGAAGAGTGGATTCCTTTTGAATATTGTAATCAGAGAGAGTACGACCATCTTCCAGCTGCTTGCCAGCAAAGATCAACCTCTGCTGGTCTGGGGGGATACCTTCCTTATCCTGGATCTTTGCCTTTACATTGTCTATGGTATCTGAAGGCTCAACCTCCAGGGTAATTGTCTTTCCAGTGAGGGTCTTCACGAAAATCTGCATACCACCTCTCAGACGAAGCACCAAGTGAAGTGTAGATTCCTTCTGAATGTTGTAGTCGGAGAGGGTACGACCATCTTCCAGCTGCTTGCCAGCAAAGATCAACCTTTGTTGGTCTGGAGGGATGCCTTCCTTATCTTGGATTTTTGCCTTTACGTTCTCAATTGTATCAGAAGGCTCGACCTCCAGGGTAATTGTCTTTCCAGTGAGGGTTTTCACGAAAATCTGCATACCACCTCGCAGTCTCAGAACCAGGTGTAGTGTAGATTCCTTCTGAATATTGTAATCAGAGAGAGTACGACCATCTTCCAGCTGCTTGCCAGCAAAGATCAACCTCTGCTGGTCTGGGGGGATCCCTTCCTTATCCTGGATTTTTGCTTTCACATTCTCAATTGTGTCTGAAGGCTCTACCTCCAGGGTGATGGTTTTCCCTGTGAGGGTCTTCACGAAGATCTGCATACCACCTCTCAGACGAAGCACTAAATGAAGTGTAGATTCCTTCTGAATATTGTAGTCGGAGAGTGTACGACCATCTTCCAACTGCTTGCCAGCAAAGATCAACCTCTGCTGGTCTGGTGGAATACCTTCCTTATCCTGGATCTTTGCCTTTACATTGTCTATGGTGTCTGATGGCTCAACCTCCAGAGTGATGGTCTTTCCAGTGAGAGTTTTCACGAAAATCTGCATACCACCTCGCAGTCTCAGAACCAAGTGAAGTGTAGATTCCTTCTGAATGTTGTAGTCGGAGAGGGTACGACCATCTTCCAGCTGCTTGCCAGCAAAGATCAACCTCTGCTGGTCTGGAGGGATGCCTTCCTTATCCTGGATCTTTGCCTTTACATTTTCAATTGTGTCCGAAGGCTCAACTTCTAGTGTAATAGTTTTCCCAGTAAGCGTTTTGACAAAGATCTGCATTGTGCACCTGAAAAGAAAAAACCATATTAGACAGGATTTACTTGAGAAAATTAAATTTACAGGTAAACCATTTCATTTTCATTTTATTTGATTTGTAAACTGGACCTCTAGTCTGAAGAGGCAATTTAGATATTGCTTCAATGTTTCATATTTAGAAATTGGATTCATTTATAGTAACAACATTTTGTTTAATCCTCAATTTATGCATTCTGGTAAAAAATAAGAATTTGGTGCACAGGCCATTGGTTCATAGCATGTGGTCTGAGATTGTGCCAGATTATGATTACATATTAATCACCACACAATAATATGGTAATTATTCTTTTATCAAGAAAACAATTTGCAATTGAGATTTTGGAAGAGTTGCTGGGTCACTTTAGAGAAGCCCTACAAGGCTACAGGCTAGCAGCAGCCATATGTAGCTGAAATTTTGCCCAAGCAATTATGACCAAAGCCATATGACCGTGCTGCCAAAAGGACAGATTTGGAACGATTAACCGAAGTGAAACGTACGAGGAATTTAGTGTAAACAGAATTGAGCAAAAGGCATCTTTTAGTGTCAAATACTGTAAAGATTTAAAGTAAAGAGGCCTTTGGTATATTCTCCAGCTATTATCAAAGACAATTGTGATAGTTAATATTTTTTTTATTTGCATTACAAGAATTATTCATTTAAAATGCAATATTCTAGAAGTCTTAGTTTGGAGGATAAAAAGTAGCATAGGACATTATTGGGGGAATAGACAAACATTTAAACTAACGTAGAAAAGGAATTATGTTGCAGATGTATACTAAAACACTAAAAAAAGTGTTTCAAGTGCACAGGAATGAGAACTGACAAAACCATGCATAAACACACAGTATAAGCAACTACTGTATAGACAATAGAATTACACAAACTATGCCTTCAGGTCTAACTTATTGGTGGCATTTCATAAGCAGACTAAGACCATGAGATGCTATGTAGATTGTAATTAGTCTACAATTTCCTTAAACATTACAGCGCCAACACCAAGAAAAGTAGCAGTGTAAGCAGAAGAGGGAAGACACCATTAAACAAGCTGTGAAGCAGCCACATTTGTGGTACTAGAAATGCACCATCATGGAAGTTTAGAAAAATGCAATCCATCCTCTGATCAAGTACATTCTATCCAGTGGGCAACCGCAGACACTTCAATTTTAATATTCTGTTCATTTTAAACAGAACTTCTCAAATTTAAATAGTATATCATATTGTACATAGTTTCAACAGTGGTTAAGCGCTTATGTTCTGTCACCTATTATTTGTAGTACAAAGTTGAAACCTTTACAGCATTGCGGTTTAAACAAAATTCAGTTAAGCACTTGTTCCAGAAGTGCTTGAATGGCATCAGTTGAGTCTTTTGTAAACTGGTTTTCATTCATAAACAGGAGATTTGGTCTTTGGAAGACTGGTTGGAAAATTTTTAGTATCAATCTACAGTTTATCCAAGGGATTTAAAGGTTCCTTTTAAATGGCTTTATATGACAGACCTAAATAGGGAGGTGAACCAAGACAATGTAATATGTACATTCTTTAAAATAAATTTTTAGCAATGCCTAGGAACATAGTACTGTATATCAAACTACTTAGTTTGTGTAATTAAACCAAATGGTTATGGTGAACTAAGGCAATGAATCAACTTAATGTTGATTATCTAACAGGTTTACCCACATAATGGGGACGAGACTACTATTGAAAACCTGAAGGTCATGCAACTTAAGTAGTAAACTCGATGTTAATATTAAACTACTGAAATTTGTATTTAGAGAACCAATGTTCAGCTACAGGCACAACATACTGATCTGTTTTGTGTTACTAGGAAGTTACCAAAACAAATTAAAGCCTAACAAGCCTCGGGGCCAGAATAGTGCATTTGCCAGATTCTTAATTAGGAAAGGCGCTTTACGAGCCCTACATTACATAGGATCCTTTGCCACAAGTGTCTACATACATCCATTCTGCAACAAAGCATACCTAGCATGACAGATGGTTGGCAAGTGTCCTATCACCAAAGTCCTAGTTTTCCTAGCAGTGAAAGAATAAAGCTGGACAACCATTTTGGGTTGTATCCTGGTTAAAGTCAATATTCATAAATATACAGGATATAAATGCATTAGCCAACATCTCTCCAAAACTCCAAGCCTCTGCAACACACACACACCGTCTTTGCCTCACAAAGCAAGAAACTGGCAAAAGACTAAACCCCTGGCTCACAGTGCCACTTAAATTGACAAGAAACGTGAAAATAAGGCAGAAACCTAGTTTAAAAAAAAAAAAAAAAAAAAAAAAAAAAAATCGACACTCGTCAATGCTTACCAATATATTACGAAGAGGCAAAATTTCTTTTTACATGAAAAGAATTTAAAGAAGCACAAGGAAATATGAAAAGTACATGGAAAGTCACATCCAACATACTAGGATTTAAATCACGTAAACAGAAAATTGCTACGATGGTTACACACTTTCAGACTTAGAAATTGCAACCAAATTCAATAGCTTTTTCCCCCTCATTAATTGGTGCTAACCATGCCAGAAAAATACCAGAGACCCAGATACATTACTACACATCTCACTGATGGTTATCCTAACTACTGTACAAGTTTAAGACAGTCTACCTGGCCGACATTGTATCCATAATTCAATCTTAAAACCAATTCTGGGAAAACAATGAAATACCCTCTGATATACAAGATCACTGTCCCTGGGGGGTGTTGTATTAGTGTTGGAAAATTTCCATCATTTCTTTTATTATAATACAGTACATCATTGTATTAACAGTAGTAATTACCAACTACTAATTTGTAGAATTAATCCAAAATTAATGTTTCCATTGTAAGGTCATATTGCCAAATTCTTCCTAGTCAGAGTGACGACATGAGGAACGACAAGCTGAAATGAATTTTTTCCACATTTAGTTGGATCTAAAATAGAGTCCAGTTAATTATATTTTTACAAAAGGATTATCTTATTTAATTGTTTATTTACATAGCATATTATTGCTTACTGAACTCTCATTTAGGTGTAATAACTGAAGTGGAAATTATTATAGTATAAAATGATTTACTAGTATATAATATTTCTTAATAAACTGACTTGCATTGTGCAAAATATATTGCATCTTAATACATTTATTTGTGACAAACACTTGTCACAATTCCTTACTTTCCCAGATTAATTTTCCCCAATTAATCAAGTAAAAATAATTTACGCTCAAGAATACTTTGAATTGTTCTGCACATGTGTATCGCAGCCAGGGAAGAATGAGACGCCATTCCTACTAGCGATGCCATTCGCAACAGAGAGCAATGTCTATCTTGTTGTCTTTAATTTTCACTCTTACAACTACGAGAGCGGTGCCACGTTATTTGGCACATCACCAAAATCCTGGAATCTTTCTTCAATCAACGGACACTTGCCCGGCAACTAAGCACTATTTGTATTACTGTGTGCACATAACACTTTGATAGTTGTCGTTAGGCTGAGAAATTATCAAAATCCAGTACTGTACGTGTACTCTCTAGCCGTATTCTATAATTTGTATAAGAATAAAATGTTGCCTTAATATCTGTAGGAGAATTCTACAGTGACACCAATCAATTCTTGTGGAAGAATTCCACAGTATTAAATGTGTCGAGTTAATCAAGTAAAAGATTTCTACAATGTAATTGCCTTCCAGCTCCCGGGTCCACGTCAAGCGAGGCATTAGGCTTTCCCACCTTCACGGGTAACAATTTGTCCGACGCAATACGTCGTCAGTGGTGTGGGGGCAACCGATTTCATCTACTGTATTTACAGCCAAGCTGTTAATGTCTAGATAAATAACCCTATAGCTTTAATGATCTACCGAGATCAATATTACTAACCCATTGCTTTAGTAATATATCAGTCTACATTTTATTACTTTGAGTCACATTTGCCTCTAATTACTATTAATTCATTCAACAAACCAGCACTGATATAATGCTTGGGATATATTAATCTTTTTGCATGTAACCCCCCATTTTGGGCGAGAGGATTCGACTCAATTCAGTCCCTTTAATACTCAATGCATTATTAAAACATACATAGGACATTAGTTCAGGGAGTAAAATATCAAACCATTTGCTCTACCCTGTTTTCCCCACTTTCTCAAAAAGTGGTGGTCCTTTATAAGCTATCGAACATAGTATTAAATTCAGTTTATTTACAAGAGTTAAGTTTTCCCACACTAAAGGGAGAGGGGGGGGGGGGAGGGTTCATTTTGTGCACAAGAACATTTTTCCCTTTGCATCCCCCCGCCCCCCATGCAAATGCAATTAAATTTTGTGCACAGGCAAATTAGCATCTTTGATCATGGCTATACTTTAACAGTCAAGAAGGGTGGAAAAGCCTTAAAGTCAAACAAGTGTTAAGTTGTCTTTTGTATTTTAAAATTTCTTTGTTAATTGAATGACACTGACAAAAAAAAATGTCAAATGGGGAAAACCCTCAAGAAGCTGCCAGTTTCCTGTCCTCATCGAGACCACTAGTGTTAGATGCCTTCAGGTAAATTATCTTAATATTTCAAGCAGCCAATTTCAGAAAGTATTTAAAAGCAAGGGTTCTGATTTTGCTCTATGACAGGCTTTAAAACTTAAAGAGACCAATATGTGGGGAAAGGGGTTATCTTCAGGTTATCTAGAGATGATTTCGGGGCTTAGCGTCCCGGTCCTTGACCAGGCCTTTGTTACACACCCCCCAGGAAGCAGCCCGTAACAGCTGTCTAACTCCCTGGTACTTATTTATTGCTAGGTTAACAGGAGCATCAGGGTGAAAGAAACTGCCCATTTGTTTCTGCCTACACCAGGGATCGAACCTGGAACCTCAGGACTACGAAGCACTATCTACTCAGCCATCAGGCCCCTGCCTACCCTAGGGAAAGGGAGGCAGTCCAGGGAGAATTTTTATTTCAAAACATAGCTAGCATGGAAAAAATTAACACAGAGGAAGCCGTTTTAAGTAGTGTCCAGACAAGATTTAACAATATACACAGTATGTAGATTTGCTTATAAATAATGGGAAACAAATTTAGATAAACACTAAACATCCATAGATGCTTTAAGTGGATGAAAGATTGGCAGACATTTCAATGCCAAAAGATTAAGTTTAGAACGTAGAAAATTTAGAAAATAGTTACCAGATTGAGCAAACAATTTCAAATTCTCAATGAAAAAGTGAATGATCAATAAGGTTTTTCAGCCTGAACTGGAATATACTGCAATATCTAGCAGTGCTTGCAATAAGACATTACAGTAATTATAGCCTTTAGCTTAATCTTGCACAGCCCCTCATTATGTAGTCCAGGTATGGCATCCTTACTATAGGAGACTAATGTGCAAATAAAAGCAAGAATCCCAGGAACTGGAAGATTAGGGGTGCAATATAACAAGTACTGTATATAAAAATAGGCAAGGGGGTAACAAGGGGATACAAGGCTTTAAATTCAACAATATAGAACACTTAAAGATGCATATACATTTTAGATATTGCAAAGATTTTGGAAGTTGGTGTCAATACACAAGTAATTGTGAACAGACAAGACATTTAGGTGGTACAATGACCCAAAAAGCAAAACTGACTAAAAATTACCCTAGTAAATCGAGTGGGGAGAGAAACAATGAGAAAAACAAAAAGGTAGGACAGACAGCTTGGTGAAAGCTTAAAGCAGGGTTCCAGAATTTTAGAGTTACAGATTTGGAACCAAACCAGTTTCCAGGACCAACATTAAAAGCAGCAATCTGTCTCAACACCTGTAATGCCAGGCGGATTTTGCACATCTTTTCACACCCAATTTTTCAATTGGCAAAGCTCAGCCAACTCACAACTAATCTGAGCATTCAAGATTCCCAGCAAAGGAAACTTTAAAAGAACATTTTCCTTCTGATGCAAGTTGCATCACACACACATGATGTTGCCAACATTTTTAACTCTTAGGCAGTGGATATAATCAATTGTCGAGTCAAGTTAATGCAGTTAAAAGATTTAAATAATTATTGTCTAGGTTTTACATGCATGATGCAACTACTGTATGGATACAATAGCTATGTAAATTCAGAAAAGCAAGGGATAAAACAATCTCAAACATTAAAGGGATCAGCAAGGTCAAGCCCCAGATGTTTACAGGTGCCAACATCCTTCAGTGCCTCCACCAACTGAAACTAAATAATTCTTGTGTGTTTTTTCTTGTATTTTGCCTACAAATAATTCCATAATGAACTTTTCTGAAATTTTGTGCAAAGGCAAGTAAGAATCTCCATAGCTGCCATTTAAGGGTTAAATCTACTTTATCCAAGGTAACAGCACATTGAAATCAATATTACTTCCTAACCTAAGGATGTACTGAACGGGGTGAGAATAGCTTGAGCTACCTCATCCCTTTGAGTATTTTACCTCAAGCTTATTTCAATTTCAACCTAACAATTTTACAGCATTATCAAAGAAGCAGGGCTTTGGCAAAGTAGCTTACAATTTGACCATGACCCTTTCACCTAATGCCATGTTCACCTAGCAGTAAATAGGTACCAGTCAATTGCTGGCCTCTTGTGGGAAAAGGGGTCAATTTGTTGGCCTAAAAGGCATACTACCACCTTTCCCCCAGGTGCTGTCAACAGTTGCTCAGCTCCTTGGTACGTATTTAACCCCTATATGAACAGCAAGATCACACTAAAGGAGAGGTGCCCAACCATTTTTGCTCTGGTGCAAACTGAGGATGTAGGCTACTGTGCTACAAACCCTTGCCCACTGCTGGGGCACAATTTGCAACATTTGATTTCGAGAAGAGCATTAAGAGTCAATTAGCAATACATAGTTTTTGCAAGCTGTCAGTTCTTCCATAAATAAAACACAGATCCAGACCACTTAAAAAGAATAATGGGTCACATGAAACTGTTGCTCTTTGTTATAAGTTCAAAGCCTTAATATAGGAGAACAGTTTTCAGCCCCGCTCCTGTGCCAGGCAAGTCCATCACGGGATCACCATAGCCCGTGCTATTTGGAACTTTTAATTCCCAGTAGCTGAATCTTAATAAAGAGATGCTTTTCAACCAACACTTTTAAACCCATGGAATCGCCTACCCGCTGAAAGATGCCAACATTCCTAAAGCAGGACCAGGTTCAGAACAATTGGGGGCGGGTCATACACAAACCCCCCCCCCCCGGGTCAACTATAAACAAGTCATTGGGTCCGTTGTTTACGCAATCTGGAATCTTACTCAAATTCAGGACGCGAAATTGTTGACAAACTTCCAGTCACCTAATGCATCTGTTCACCCAGCTGTAAACGAGTTCCCGGGAGTTTAATCACCGCTTTCACAACTGCATCCTATGTAGTCACAACCTCGATACAAGATTAAACGTGTGAACAGTCTACCAGTCCCAGGCGTCTAGGTACATGAAAAAACAAAAAGTATATCCTTCCAATATAGCTAAACGAGTGACGCTATATCAAGATTCCCTACACTTGTTATTATATATTAAACCATATAAAAAGTGTAAACAAAACGCTGCCAGATAACATACCAGAATAGCGATACAAGAAAACTCCAAATATAGTCGTCCTTTTAACACACACTTGCTCTCTGCGTCGCGGCAGCCGCACTTATGTCGCAGTTTCGCCCCGTCACCACTATATATACCCTTGGTCACGTGACACCCTGCCGCGCATGCGCACTCTCCCCCCCTGCAACACCATGACCAAACATTATTTACATATACTTTGTTCGCTTTATTTGATCTCTTCGTCACTTGTAACTCATGACATACTACTCCCAGTAAGCCAAGGATTGTCTTGGTATGGGTTATGAGTGAGAGTAAAAGCCAGTGTGGTGAGAGCGGCAGGAGATGTGGGACAATGGGAGCCATATTGGAGGAGCTCCCAGAACCCCCCAGAACATGGCGACGTTTCGTAGAATATTTCCTCACCTTCAGTACGCACAATCTGACGCCGACCCAAGAGCAATGACGATGAATAAAAGAAGAAGGTAGTCCAGCAGATGTCTTATCTACACACTATGAGATAGAAGACTACAGAAATATGAAATAAAAAACAACATAGGAATGGATACCATTCCAACACACAAGATGCACACATAAATAAGTTCAACTCGTCATAAAAGCAATCATGTAGGGAATATACAAAATATGTGCGCAAATAGAACAAATAATATAAGAGGCTTTTTCCTAACATTAATCGTCATTAATAGTTTATCCCGGGTAATACCTGTGCAAGTGACATCACCACTGTTACCTGCTGGAAATATAAATCCCTTTCTTTGGCTTTCCAAGAATCACACTGAATGACACTCGTTACAGCGGGCAATGAAGCTCACTAAATGAACTTAGCCAGGGTCTCTACGTCCCTTGGCGTGTCCAATACTATAGCCACCCCCTGCCAACTGACTGTAAAAAATAATAATAATAATAGTAATAATAACAGCCCCGTTCCTGTGCCAGGTAAGTCCACTACGGGGTCATCATAGCCCGCTATACTTGGAACGTTTTGTTCCGAGAAGCTTAGTTGAGTTCATTTATTATGCACCCCATAACCATCCTGTGGGCGGTAGTGGAAAGAGTTCTGAGTATCTGAATCTAAAACAACAACAAACAAGCTGTACAAAAGTATTGGAAAGTCGTCTGATTTTTAACCCAATACCCGACAGCTCTCGTGATAATTTTGGGCACAGATATTTCATCAAATCCTCAAATACTGCCAGTTTCTTGTTGCAGCGCCTCACTGAAATCACTTCATTTTAATGGGGCCACGTGAGAACCAGAAATGCGAACAAGATTGAATGGTCCCCAAGCCTATATGCAAATGAAAATTACACACACTAGAAGTGACTCGAAACCAGACCTCCAGGAGCACATGGGGTGGTGGATCAAATAGCTTTGGCTATCACCGTATGTGCGGTTACTAATGGTCGAGTAAATAAATAAATAAATATATATATATATATATATATATTGGCGCAGTATAAAACTAGCCTGGTACCGCGCTTTGGCCTTGGTTCCTATCCTGGCCGGGGAGGATTGACTGGGCGCTAATCCTTAACTGTAGCCTCTGTTCACCCAGCAGTAAATGGTTAAACGATTTAGCGGGTCGGGTTCCAGGGGAAATTAAGGATTAAGGACCTGCCCAAAACGCTATATGCATGCTAGTGGCTGTACAAGAATGTAACAACTTCTATATATATCAATAAAACAAAAATACAGCCATTAAATCATGTTGTGTTACTCTACTATTAAAATATATTACTCTGAAACCCATATCAGGCGCTAAACAAAATATTGGGTTACTTTAATTACAAATTAAAGCCCGAAACGCTATGCGTGCTAGTGGCTTTACAAGAATTTAAAAACGTCAGGTTTCTGTACTCTCATGAACCCAATGCACCTTCTTGCTTATAAATAAATAAATAAATAAATAAATAAATAAATAAATAAATAAATTCGCTACGCTTTAGACCATCAGGTCCTGAGTCCATGTATGACTAACCTTCCTGTGAGATGGGAATATTAGATGAACGTATAGCTAGTTTTTGATCTACACTGTGTAATCTTTCCTATAGAATAGAGTAGCAGCACATTGATGGGTATACCTCAGCTTGTTAATAAAAAATAATAAGCTACTTTCAGCACTTCAGATGTGGCACCCCTGTAGTGGTCTGCTGGGTGGCCGGGCGGTGTTGCTGGGGAGGCCAGGCCTTAGTGACAGGTGGTTGGTGGGAGGGAGAGGGAGAGAGAGAGGGAAGGAGAGTGGGAGGGAGAGAGAGAGCTAAACGGAGGGTGGGAGGGAAAGAGAGAGAGCTAAACGGAGGGTGGGAGGGAAAGAGAGAGAGCTAAACGGAGGGTGGGAGGGAAAGAGAGAGAGAGCTAAACGGAGGGTGGGAGGGAAAGAGAGAGAGCTAAACGAAGGGTGGGAGGAAGAGAGAGAGCTAAACGGAGGGAGGGGGACAGAAAGAGGGAGGAAGGGGAGACAGAGAGAGAGAGAGGGAGGAGTGAGTCAATATGGTGCAAGGAACACGTCAGCTGACATGCAGTCATCATTACAAGGTTGCATCACGTCAGAATGTGCGCCAGATAGAGGTGGTGAACCTGTTTGCTTACCAACCCGCGCTTGTGGCAAGGGAGCTCTAGCTCTTGGGCTCCTACCTTAGACTATGGGACGTCTTGAAAATTAAAAGTTTACAGTCTAAAAAGGGATTTAAAACTAACTAGTATGATAGTCACAGTCCACAGGCAGACATTCTGTCTTGGGCCTGACGGCTGAGTGGACAGCGCTTGGGATTCGTAGTCCTGAATCCCTCCCCCCCCCCCAGCGGAGGCGGAAACAAATGGGCAGAGTTTCTTTCACCATGATGCTCTTATTCACCTAGCAGTAAATAGGTACCTGGGAGTTAAAGAGCTGCTTCCCGGGGGTGTGTAACAAAAAAGGAGGCCTGGTCGTGGACCGGGCCGCAGGGACGCTAAGCCCCGAAATCATCTCAAGATAACCTCAAGATAGATGGAATCCACACACAAGATATTCTAAGCCAGCGAGTTATTTATAACTGCTGCCATGAGGCTGTTGCTGTCTGTCTTGTGCCAGTTTTCAAACTTTGGTTATAGGAACATTACGATATTACATTTGGTGTTTACAATATATCATAATATACATTTTGTTTTTTACAAACAACTATATTAACTATAGATGTAGTTAATGTTGGATAGAAAAGCTTTAATTGTGAATAAATCTATAAATTATGATGATATTCAATTAAAGCTACACAAGTGAAGGTAGAATAAAAGGCTGAGAGAACAACAGTCAAATAAATCATTATCACATTACACACATGATCAAAGTGACATCGTCCAGTCCAATGTGTATCTGTTATCACACAGACAACATTAGTGATAGCACATACTGCTATCAACCCCCAACCGTCATCCTGGACGCAATCACGAGGACAAAACCAGCCAAGAAACCCTGGCTCATATGGGCGGGAAGAGCCGCCCCGCCCGCCACTGTTCCCGGGCCGCCGGGCTGCCATCAACGGTACATTGGTACATGTGCCATATTGCAGCTTGCAACACCATTCGCAAATGCTTCTGGTGTTTAAGGGGGTTATTTAGGGCAATGTGGTTGTGTACGGTTATCGGTTGCAATGTTTCCTGGGCAGTACGTAGAGGTTTGTTAAGGGGTTGTGATACTGTGGGTATATCTGGTAACTGCCGGCCACCACCACCACCCGCAACACCCGCCCTCGTCTACGTGTGTCATTGTCGAGGTCATGCACCTACTGGTCGTTAGTTACTGCTCGTTAGTCGCTGGTCGTTACTCGCTGGTCGTTAGTCGCTGGTCGTTAGTCAGTGCTCGTCAGTAAAGAAAGTACACCTCAAAGAGATAGAGTAGCTTAGGCTAGATTGTCAGAGATATACATATTGCTTCGGCGATTAGATTAATGAGAGACTGGGGAGCTAATGAATTAAACTTTTCACTTCAAAAGGCGGGAAGAAATGTATAATGCATGTGAAAGCATAATAAAATCCTTATGTTCTAATGTTACAAAGCATGATTTCATTCAATAATGTATTTCATTGCCAAAGAAACAATTAACACCAACACGTAGATGCAGTAATTTTCCCTGTGTTCTCAGACTCTTAACTTTGCTGCGGTTTGCCAATAAGTGACATCGCCTTGTCCACAGCCTCCCAGCATTTTAAGTCATGGAGAAACAATATCGCCTTAGTCAGAGACTCCCAACATTTTGACATTTCTTCTTTCTCAGCGCTTGTACTCTCCACTACTACCTTCAAAGGTAACTCTATGCTTAACAATGTCTTCTAATTCTATTTCTGTAAACCATTTTCCCTGAGCTTCTCTGTCAACATTTTCCACCACACGGGGTTGAACACTGCCTTCATTAGTGGATAGTTTATTTTCCCGAGACTCTTCCATCTGTGATACACCGTCCTCTTCCTTACTCTCTTCCCCCTCCGTCTCACTCTCCACTACACACCATCTGTTTGCCATAGCAATTTTCTAGAGCTTCAATCCTATTGTCCAACTTTTTGAGGTATTCCAAGAATACTCTGCGATGTACCGACCGCAGAGTCCACAACGCTGCCCTGTAGGTGGCTACAGGTGACGGATCTCCCAATCCTGAGCACTCAGACCAGTTGACATGAGTCACAGAAAATAACTCCACCACCATTGAGCTTAAGGTATTCAGTGGCTAGGTAAATACCCAATAGCTCGGTCTGTGTCGTGCTTGCCCAGTTGTTCAATCTCTGTGTACTAGTCATGATCATTTCATTCCCTTTATACACTGCACATGCACAACCTGTTCTACCAGTGCCTAACTGCACAGAGCCATCAGTAAAGGCATAGGATTCAGTCGGTTTGAGAATTTGAAGATGACTGTCAATAGCTTCTAATGTTATACATCTCAAAATGTCAGTGTTATACATTTGTTTTACACTGATGGGAGTATAATGCAGAGAGACCTCCACATCTTTCCAAGGGGGAATATAGTGAACAGTTTTATCAGGGTTAAGAGATACATTCAGTTTCTGAAGACTATAGACACAACAACTGAGCCACACACTGTAGGGAGCTTTTTGCGGCGGATTGAGGGAACAGTCAGAATTGTTTAGAATGGATCTCAATTTAATTTGAATAGAGCTGGGGGGACCATT